CTTCCTGCTGAGATTTCTGCACTTTAAGGCTTTTGTTTGGGTTTCCCTGATCCAAATCAAGAGTTCAAACATAAATAATATTTGTTTATTTAATGTTTTATCATGAGGACACTTGAATAGTGTGGAACAGTTTCACACACAGCATGTATAGCCTGATCTAGTCAGGAAAATGAGGCTTTTTTGATCATTTTGATGTAGTAATCATCTAAAGCGCAATTGAGCTAAAATCCTTACATCTTGAGGCCCTACTATATTGTCTAGTTTAAGTTTAAATGCCTTTTTTTCACTTTATATTGCGCTAATATACTGTATTCATTAATTCTGAAGCGAACAATTAATTAAATGACCCTAACTTTTGCCCCCCTATCAATCTGAAGTCTGGAGCATTCGCCGCCTGCTGTGATTTTTTTCAATTTTCTAGGTAAAAGTTGGAAGAGGCTTTTAAAAAGAAAAAAAGCTTTTTAGGAACAGGATACTATTTTCATGTTTTATTTATGGTAGTTTTTGAATCTAGGATGCTATAAAACTTTAAAACAGGGAAGAACTTTCGGAACATCTGATCAGATTGACGTCTAACGATGATTGATGCGAAGCTCAAACTCTGACACTTCCTCCAGTAATAATCCTGTTCCTGTTCCTCTTCATTCAAACAGAAAATGCCGCCGACAGAGGATAGAAAGTAAACTTTTATCAGCGGCAGAATACAAACAGTTTGAGAAAACAGATATGGGTCAGGCGCTGCATCTGCACAATTACATAGTTAATGGGAAACACAAGGAAAATGACGCGCGTGGAAAAACAAAAGAACATCAAATAAGTGATAGGAGTGTGTGCACCTCAGCCATCACCACTCACAAATACATCTTGAAATGAATGGGGGGGGGCTGAAAGGAAGACGAGAAAGCATCTTGAACATCAGTTTTCAGTCTAATGTTAATAATTTATGTTGTCTGTGCTTTTTATTATTATTATTTATTTACTTACTACTTTCTTTTTCAGCAGCCTGCCCGTTTTTCAAAGGCATCGCGGACAGGGAAGCCGTATCAAACTTTTGAGTTTAGTTTCAAAAGAGCTCTCTCCCCGTTTATTTATATATTTCTCTCCTTCTTTACACTTGTCTTGTTGTTATTTGGTGAGGCAAACACATGAAGCTTTGATGAGAAGCAAACCTGACAAGTATTCTTCTCTCCTGACCCAGAGGAAATCTAAATAAATAGCCAGGCTAAATATTGTATGGAGGGCTCCTTTTGTAGCCCCCGCCTCTCATTAAACACACCGGATAGTCAGCTCGTACACGGGGTAAATGTCAGAGAAACAGCGAGGTGTGTACAGGAGGATTGAAGATGACCATGACCTCTCGGAGAAAGTTTGTTTTTTATTTGACATATCTTTTATTTTTCACTGTGTTTATGTGTGGAGTTGAAAAAGATCAAGATGAAAAGAAAAGTCAGTGATGTTTATGGAATATTTGTATGTTACTGAAATCTTTGAACTCTTTACAGCAAGAGGTACATGTGTTACATCTGATCTACCCTTCTATCCTTTTATCTATCTATCTATCTATCTATCTATCTATCTATCTATCTATCTATCTATCTATCTATCTATCTATCTATCTATCTATCTTAATATTATTGCTTTCAACTAACCTAATACAGTTATGTGAAATTTGTTAACATAATACATTTAATTAAAGTCAACGTTTCAGTTTTTTCAGTGTAGATAGATAGAAAGTCAGATACACTGAAACAACTGAAATGTTGACTTTAATTAAATGTATTATGTCAACAAATGTCACATTACTGTATTAGGTTAGATGAAAGCAATAATATTAAGTTGAACCTAGAACTAAGTTAGTAGAACCTGAACTAACTTAATACAGTTATTTGAAATCTTTTGATCCTCCTGAGACCCACCCATTCATTTTTGTCCTCTGTGGAGGACATTTGGTTTTGGTCCATAACTATGAGGTTATACATGCCACAGCATTAAGTCCAATTGTACTCCACAGAGGACATCCTGGGCTTTTCAGACATGTGACATATGGGGGTGTGGCTTTGAAAAAGATAATTTCATTGTATTTCAAAATGGCGTCCATCAACACAAGCACTATTTATAGAAAGAGAAATGGTAAGTTTGTAATTTTGTAATTACCAGTGTTGTGAGGTCAATATTTTAATTAATTATAGTAAGGGAACATCTTAGGAGTTAGTGTAGTGAGTTTCAGAGCAGTGTAATAATTATTTGACCTAAAACTAAATGTTTTTATGAATGTCCTCTGAGGAGGACATGGGGATTTGCAAACTTTTAATTTCCCCCCATTTTACACGACACAAATGGAGTCCACTATGGGCCAAAACTAACACGTAGGTTTCTGTAGGGTTCATGGCAGACGGATGCAGTGGGAAAACATACATCAAGTGTCAGATGTATCTCTGCATTTCAAAAAAGTACTACAAATGAGGGCTCAATATTTGTTGCATTGAGTTGTTGTGCTCTAATGTTGACTTGTATGTTAATGTTGTTTGTATACTATGCTTCACATAACTAACACCTGATGTCCTCTACAGAGGACACACAATAAAACTAAAATAAAAATATATATTTTTAGTTTTTGTTAGTTATTATGTTAATAACACCCTAAAGACTTGTGTGATCTAAAAAAAAAAGGAAATGTGAAACCTTTTTCTTTCTGGGTCTCAGGAGGATAATACATTCAATTAAAGTAAAACAAGCAGTTCTTTTAGTGTATCCGACTATATGAAACTGAAAAAACGGAATTGTTGAATTAATTGAATGTATTATGTCAACACATTTAGTATAACTATATTAAGTTAGTTGAAAGCAATAATATGAAGTTGAACCTACTAATTTTTATTTAAACGTGATATTTTTGCTTTCAACTAACCTAATACAGTTATGTGAAATCTGTTTACATAATACATTTAATTAAAGTAGAAAAAGTAGTTTTTTCAGTGTATCTGTCTATCTGTCAATTCTTTTGAGCAATTAAGCATTACAGCAAGGAAAAAGAATCATTAAATAAATAGAAAAAAAACAAAAAAAACAAAAATATTATCCGTGTCTGTGACAAATGTACATATTTTTTATGGAATATTTTGCTATGGAATAATTGTATTTATAATACATTCTAATGGCATATAGGGCAGACTCTATCTTAAAGAATAACTCCACTGAAAACAGGACACACAATTCATGTCAAACAATTGTTTATTACTAATTATGGTACAAATCAATGTGACAGACTTGAAGCTTTTTTTCTTTTTTTGGAAATACACAAAGTGCTGCTTAACTGACCAAACAGATATTGCTCTATAGATTAAGTACAGTTTTCAGTCTATAAAAAAATGAAAACCGACCTCTGCGGGCTCTTCAGCTTTGGTTTCGAGTTCTTCCACTATTAACAAAACGGCAAACCACTTTGTTTGTGTTAGTAAAATGTCACAAAAGCATTTAAAGGTGATTTACAAATCATCCTAATCAAGAGCAACAACACTGTAATCTCCTTTTTCCTCTACGAGGGGGGGGGGGGGGGGGGGGGGGGGGGGGGGACGGCACAACAAATGAGAAATAATGCAAAAAAGATAGGAAAGAAATAACGGAGAGTCACGTGTGGCTCAGGAAACCACTTCACAAAAAATAAAACAATCATGTGTCACATAATAATAAATAAATAAACCTTGTTGGAGGTGAACATCGACACACACAGTGCAGAGTAACGTCTGTCTTTTCTGACCTGCTGATGCTTCATGGCGTTTGTATGATTCTCACAAGAACAGTACTGAGGTAAACCTTGGATGAACGTCTGTACAATTGTTTTATCTCAGTTTTTTGAAAAGATTGTCAACATCATGAATCTATTTCTCTGTACAATGTGCATAACTATAGAGCTTTGGTCCAGCATTGAGAAGTCGAGCAACTCCTCTTATGTGTCGTCTTCTTTTTTTTATTTTGGTTACAGCTTTATTGATAAGCCTCGGAAAAGATCCATATTCTACCTGCAGATAGAATGTCTCAGATTTCTTTTGAGTGGGTGGGTGCAGATGTGGAGTTTCTTGGCCAAAGAGTTGGAAGATGGACGCAACGTAAAGGTGGAATCACAATCAAAAGATGGAAATGTCGTTTAAATACTTGAGTCAATAGTTGCTTTATATCTTTCAAAACATGTCATGTGTTTTCTGACAGTGTGTTTGCGTGCGTGTTTTCCAGGCAGAGAAGAAGAACGCAGCACTGAAGATAACCAATGTGACATGGAAGGACAGATATCGAGCAGACACATGATTCTGAATAAATTGCATCACATTTCGCCTCGCTTCAAATTAAGTTCACTCGTTCTGACATGTGACACTTATTCTCAACATTCACCTCTTGTTTGTTTTTTTGGCTTTTCCTGTGAGGGGCTTTCGAGAGAGCCAAATATTTGTATGGATGGGAATATTGACATTTAAAAACATGTTAAATGAACAGTTTGGAGACACAACCGACTGGAATCAAAAACAATAAACACATCAAGGAAAATTTGAGCATAATCTGTCAAAATTAACCATTTAAAAAACATTTCCCCATTAAAATAGTTGATTGTAAACCTTCACTAAGCTGACAGCGATGCAGAATACAAAGGAAACGTTTTTTTTTGTTGAGGTTATAAAACATTTGAACTGGAATGAGCTCAGTAGTTTGGTCAGTGGCGACAAACAGGCTTCAACCACACATGTTCATTTAGTTTAAGGGCATTATAAAGTCTTTATAATGTTAATAAAGAATGTTATTTTCAGTGAGGTAAGAAAAAAGCAGGTAATGTTAATCCTGGGTTGCCAGGTGAAACTGATCTGAGACATGTGGTTGGAGTTTAAGCATGCAGACGCAGATGTGTGGATGTTTTTAAAGCTGTTTGAGATGGTAGTGTTCAACTAGAAACTAGAAAGCCGTGTGAAACTGAAAATAAAAAGGTAACATCTTCACCAGTCCTTGAGCTAACATGTATGTGTTCTTTGGCTATCAGGCTTTGGCAACAGAATGACACAGTAGCTCAAAACAGCAGACTTGACAGACACTGAAACCCTTCATCATCATCATCATCATCTGAAAGTCCTTATTTGACTGTCTGTCCTCTGAAACACTCTGAGATTATTAATAAATACCTGTAAAAGTTGTACAAAGTTACACCGTGACTGAGAAATGTTTGCAGATGAAACACAAAGGCAAACAACATCATAATGCAACTGTTCAACAGCATTTTCTTTTTGTCCAAAAAGAGAACGTTTATCAGTGTGGTTTCACTTGGATGACAGCATTTTTTTTTTTTTTTCAGATATTTACATACAAACAATGAAGAAAAAAGTAAGCGAGACAAAGATAAAATGTATACTCAACCTCACACATATAGCTTAGATTTGCCAGTACAAATGTAGAAATTTAGAGCACATTTACATTACAAAATTATTCTTAGTACTCAGATGCAACAGACTTTGGTAAATAGTGTTTTGATTTGGTATGATCTCTTTACTAAATCCCTCCTGGTGGGAACCAAAATGTGGGCGATAGTCTGGTCTGTACGGCCAGAATCTAAAACTCTTTGAAACAGCACACCGTATGTTTTTACATAATTCTCAGATATTAATCTCTTTTTTCTTGTTTTTGGTTTCGCCAAGGTCATTTACATAGCTGTGGTAATCACACTGACAACACATAGTTTTTGTTTGCAAACTCATCACTGTCCGTCCAGGTGACTCTGTAACATTGTTCGGTTCAAGATGAGTTCATCCCTCTGGTTATTAATGGCTGCCTCTCTTCCCCTCCACTGTTAAGCTGTGGTTCATTTGGGCAGCTCCTCTAGAGAGTCGGACAGCGGGTCCATGGCTCCGGCCGGGCCCAGCTCCGGACCTTTCAAACGCTTTACCGTGTTTTTCAAAGCTTGTCTCTTGTTGCAGAACCAGACCCGCACCACCTCCCGGTCATAGTTCAGCTTCTCGGCTATTTCCGTCATTTCCTGTCCGGAGGGGTGTGTGTTCTTCTCAAAGTGGCTGTTGAGGATCTCGAGCGCCTGTGGGGTGAAAGAGGTCCTCCGCTTGCGCTTTTTGGAAGGCTCGCTGCCGATAAACTCAGTCAGGTTCTGCATGCCGGACCGGTGGCGGGCTTCAGCCTCGGCCATCCAGCGCTCCAGAACGGGCTTAATCTTCTGGGCGCTTTTAGGGGTGATGTCCAACTTCTCAAACCTGGCAGGATATAAAAGGCCAGGGTTCAGTTTGCCTGTCAGACTGCTACCTAATGTGTTCTCTTGGGCTTCCTGTGGTAGGAAAAAGTGGCTTCTCAGGATGGTGTGTCTGGGGAGAATTGAGAAAAAAGAATCTTACTTGCCAGAACAAGGGATAAGCTGCCTGCCTTTTAGACCAAGAGACTAACATCCAGGTACACATCCGAGCCAAACCCCTGTATTCTGCCCCTAGAAACCCCTCAGCTGCAGCAGCTGCAGGTGACTGATGCCAGCAGTTTGTTAATTCTCTGAAGAGGGCTTGGCCTCTGTCCAAAAAATGGAACAAAGAGATATTGCCAAAGACTAAAATCAGGTCCAGTTGAACCAAAAGCATTATATTTAACTACTATGCTTCAAAATGCTGCTAAATAAACAAAAATAGGAATTACTGCCAAATATCCCATTTCTTTCCCTCCGGTGATAAAAAAACAAAAATCCACTAATGCATGCAGTTAAATATGGCACCATGATTTATTTACCAAAAGCGCTTGAATTATTAATCAAAATGTACATTTAATACATTTTTCAAACTTTCTTTCCTCCTCAACGTCTCATTTTATATTGAATAAGAATACATTTGCACACTCTAATCCTGGAAGTTCCTGCAACTTTGCGGCCCGCGTAATTCTGACTTCACACACACTCCGCATTTTAGAGTCACGGTAAGACTGCAGAATGAGGCTTTTATAGAAACACTGCCAGCCTGTGATAGGAAAACATACTAATGTTTTTTTATTTGACAGCAAAAGGATTTCTTTCAGTTTTTTTTAAGATGGCATTATTTAATAAAGGCTAAATAAAAAAAATGTGTTTGTGAACCAACAGCACACATTTTTGATGAGGATCCTTTAAATGTGGTTATTAGAGATAGGAGCGCTCTGACTTTAAATTGAACTATTGTTTTGTTGTTTGAGCAGGTCTCCCTTGAAAAAGAGATCAATGATCTCAATGGGATACAACCTGGATAAATAAAGGTGTGAAATGAAATGAAATGTTGTATTTGTATTCATGGTTTTAGTTCATACATGAACACCACCCTGACAGTTATTACATGTCTGTAATGTTTGGCAGGGGTCTTTTATTATTTACAGTGTGGAGCCAACAACGCTTCCAAGTTGAAGTGATGCTGACTGATCGGACTGGAGAGGTTTCCGTTGACGTTTGTTGTTTGTTTTATGGACATTTTGTTTTTTGACAAAGCAACAGGAAACATGGGGAGAAGGATATGAAGAGGACATGCTAAAAAGATCAAGTAATCATTGAATCAATGACAGACTCAACAATTTCTTAAGAGAGATGTTTGTGTTGTGTGATCATGTATGTTTGCACATTTTAAACTGTATTTGCTATCAGACAATATTAAGGAGAGAGAGGAGGGCTGACATGTACCAAAGGTCCCCAGCTGGACTGAAACTAGGGACCTTGTCAACTCGTGACATGATGCACCCTCAGGTCCTTCTTGCAAAAACAATCTGTGAGGTTTCCAAAATAAAAAATAGAATTACATTGAAGCAAAATCTAATATAAAATAGGATGATTTAAATGCTTTTAGCTGCTTTTTAAACTCAGATTTCCGAGCATTTTTCAATAAATAAGCGCACATGAGTTAACTGAAAGTGTTTCTGGGACAAACACGAGTGTGACGTGTGTGAATGCTTTTAGGAAAGCAGCTTCTGGACTGACAGCAGCTCTGAGATCTGCTCTCTGAGGAACAAACAATGCACACAAGATGTTTTTAATGGGAGGTGAGCTGCTGCAGACAACACCAGAGAGGCAGCGATGACCATGCGTGCATGAAGTTGCTCTGCTTCTACACCTCGCCGCTGCATTCCTCCTTGTCGACAGGCGGTATTATTTATAACCTCGTCCTAAACAGTGGAGAGAGGAGGCTGCGTACTGCGGGGAATACATTAGTAAATATGAGGAGTCACCAGAGACAGGACATTTCATGGATCAACAAGAACCGCAGAGACTAAAATGAGTTGAGAGCCGCTCGGCTGGGGTATGCACTCCCTCCTCTAGTGCATCAGCACGAGGGAGAAGTGGCCCTGAATGCACCTCCAGCCTCTCTTCTTAAAAGTACCTGCGCACACATGCTGTATGTTGAGTTTCAGTCTGCCTCTGGGTTTAAAGTCTTTGAGTGGGATACGAGTTACATGAGGGCTAACATCTGCAGTATATGAGGAGAATTTACCTCGACAAACAGTTACAATACATACTATTATCTCTTATTGTGTAATAATATACACCTTTTTAGTGTCTGTTTTACTTCCCTGTCATCCTGTCAAAGCTTCAGAGAGGAAAATATATGTTTTATTCTTTCAGAGATGCCGCACTGTTTATACTTTGGTATTTAACCTTGTAGCATCTCTGGTTGTTATAGACCATTGTTGGAATTGTAAAAGTAATTAAACATGTGATATATTGATATATTCATGATATATTGATACAAATATATAAATCTATATGTTATACAGATGTATTAGAATTGTATCCATGTCACTTAACCCAACTATTAGGAGGGTTAGCACACTATTAGCCAATTTAAATTTAAATTTAGTTAGGCACTGTTCTTGGGAGGCAACTTCACAAGTATTCCATTTTGGCTTCTTTTGTAATATAAACAATAAAAAGTATTTATTAAAAAAGGTTTTGCTTTTTAGGAATTGATCATGCAATATAAAACAAAATAGAAAGAGAATCTGCCCTTATGATATAAGTAGATTTCAATATTCAAGAGATTCATATCAGTGAGCTTACTGTACCGTCTACTGTGTTTATATTTCTTGGTCGATTATTTAGTTAATATTCTGCTCATGTTTATTTAAGCTGGGACTTTTTAGTTTGGAAGATTTAATCATGAGGAAACCATCAAAGAGTTTGAAATGCTGCATTGAAGGCCATTTTGAACATGTGTATATCCATTTTAGCCTGAACAAAGCACATTGTAACCAGAGGAGAGCACAGTGGCTATCCTTGGTTTGATGATGCCCTCGTGTAATGTCTGTGCCTGTTTAGATAAACTAATAAAGAGCTTGGAAACACAGTGAGCAATGAAAGGAGACAAGATGGAGGCATCTGTCAGTGTCTGTTCTCTGTCTGGTTCAAAGCCCCAGAGCTACGTCCCGCTCAAACTTCATGTCTGTGTTGATGTTAACTAAACTAAAGCATGTGAAGTTCGGCCTCTACTTAAAACATCACCATGTCATGTCCAATGTCATACAAACAAAAATGTTGTCTTAACGGCATGAATAACAGCCCACTGAGTGTTTATTTTTGAAGCTAATGGCTTTTAATGTATGTTATAAATATTTGAATTATGCCTGGCTGTAAATATTTAATGTGTGATTTCAAGACTTTAAACATTAGTCAGAGATGGCTGGGCCTCATAAGAACCCCGGGCCCTGTACAGTTTCACATTTTATCGGCTGTTTGATGTTGATGTGATGACATTTTAAAAAGGGCATGGCAGTGCCTTGTCAGATTAACAGTACAGGTCATCAGTAAAGCACATGCACTGGGACATTCAAATGAATACAGGAATGAGGCCTGAAAAACTAGGGGGAGTTCTTGTCAAAAAACGGATGCAAGACAGGCTACACTTGTGTTATGTTATTGTGTTTTTGGCAAAGAAAAGTTGTCATATATACATATTTATACTTTGTTTGGATCTTAGAAAAGACATTTGACTTTAATCGGTGAACTTTTTAATTCATTTGACACTTTTTTGCCATTTAAAGAGTAATATTTGAGCATGATGTAGTTAAATTATTCTGACTTGAAAGGGAAATGTGGCTCATTTGGTGTCTTCATGCTAAATGTTAGTCATGTGGAAAAACAGTAGGGATGAAACACTGATTGTCTGATAGTCTCATGAATATATAATGCCGCATTTAGGACTAAACTGTCCTGGTGGCAGCGGTAAAACATGGCAATCTTATTAACAGATCATCGCCGTCAAGCTCTCTCATGTTCAGACGAGCAGCCGGCGTCAGGCCTTAGTAATTATTAAATGCTTTAAGTGCTTCGTGTAATACTTGCGTATGTATTTTGCATAAGTAACGCGCCGCTGTCATGTCAGCGAGGGGAACGGGAAGACGGCTAAGTACAGGCATGAGAGCTTCGTTTGTCAGGGTGGTGATAGTCAATTATGTATTTTAATATCTTAGTAATGTCTGTTAAAACACGGGATGAAAAATAGATGAGAACCAGGCAGTTCAGTGAGACTTTTATCTGGTTTCATTTGACAGAATTAGGACGTATTGATCAGGAATGATGAAGCGTTTATGTTCCTCCCTGGCTGCTCTTACCTGCAGATGGCAGACTGGCTGTACGCCGGACCCTCGGCCGCGCTCAGCGCCTGGCCCACCTGAGTCTGAGTCAGGCCCAGGGACAGGCGGCGGATCTTGAATGCTTTGGCGAATTCACGGATCTCCTCCAGGTTGACCCCGTCCACCTCGCTGGGGGCGGTCTGCGGGTCTGCAACACAAAACACATCTCATTTATTAGCACTCTGTCGCTCATTTCCTCAGACTGAAGGAAGCAAACATTCAGAAATATATGATCGTGGGTGTCTTTAAACCAGCTCTGGGTCAGATCGTTTTATTTCTCTCTGCCCTTTTGCTTTAAGCAAATAATGTGGGATAAATAAATTCATTTAAGGTGTGAATGCAGGCTGTTTATAGCTTTAACTTGCAATTGTAAATCTTTATACGCACATACAAAAGCATACGGACAAATCTAATTCAATAGATCTTAAGAGGTCTTTTTCTAATGTCTCTGTGTCTGTATGAATAAAGGTAGCCGTCTGAAATAAACATGAGTGTATACAGACTCTCTGACCCGGTGGGAAGTCAGTTCAGGCCGTGTACAAATATAAAGAAATGCTGTTTGCGAATCTCCACATTGGAGGACATCTGAAAAAACTTCACTGGAGCATTTTGAAGAATTTCCCTGCTAATAGAAAGTGATTACATTGTACATCAATGTCAGGTGCCCCGGCATCCTGCTTACTAAAGCAAAGTTTGTGCCTCTGAATTATTCATCTTGGTCATTATCAATGAATTATTAAAGGAATCCTCCAAGCGTATTTAAGCAAAAATCTATGGGGCTGCCATCTCGTTGTGCCTCATAAGTGACGTGTAGCGTATGCGGCGTGCTCCAGACGTGTGAACACTTGGAAGATGAGGGACTGGAGGCTCGCATACGACTAGAGGGGAGGGATGAGCACTCACAGCTTCGGCTCCCATCATCTCCACATTGATGAGCGTCTCTTCATCATTCCCAGCAGAGTCTATTCACTCTGTGCTCCGGGAGACTAATGGCGCTCCAGAGCAACTGGTCTAACCTCGGGATATTTGTCTTTAGACATGAAGTCACCAACACAAACATCATTTAAGATTTCTAATCTGTTTTGCGATAATGAATAGAGAGGTAAAGCTTTCAAACTGAGAAGCAAATCAAATGTTTGAAAGGACATATTTAAAAAAAACTATTGAGACGATCAATTTCTGGGCGTTTAAAAGCTGCTTTTCTTCAGGGCTTTAAGACACTATTAGCTTTATAATTTAAACAGGACAATAACAACTTAAACAATCAATTTATCTGTAAGTATTACGAGTCAAACTTTTAAATTGCAAGCAGGACTCATGTTATTATATGCCTTTGTCTGTTTTCACAAAAGGTGAAAAACTAGCCTTTCATTTGTTTAAATGTTTATTGACAGCCTAAATGAGACCAAATGATGATGAAGTGTGTAGTTAAGACCCCAGAAAAAGCGAATTAAAAATGCTCTCCTATTTGGCAACACATGCTATTTAAGAGCTTTTTTAGAGTTGGTATTTATACGTGAGTTTTGCAATCGCAACTGGTATAAATAAGCATTTTTGATATGACATACACTGTGATCAGATCAGGTAGGAAAGGAATGAAAAACAGCTTCTCTGGCTCAATATATACAGAAAAAGTTCAAATAAAAACAATGTTAAGGCAGAAAAAAATGCTGACATTCTTCTTTCTGATTGACATTTCCCCATCTTATTATATTTAAATAACAGAAGCAGACATTCTCAGCTTTTTAATCTGTTTCTGGCACTTTGTTTGTGGCCGGCGAATGAAATGACATTTCATCTTCTCTCCTCAGAAGACGTCTCTGATTCTGTCATGGGATTTTCTTTTGTGGATGTTTGCTGTAAATGATATTGAGAGGAAGTGATATGGCTCGTACTCAGCACAAAGCATTCATTCTATTTAGGGCAGAACAGAGCCACAATGATTTTTGTTGCAGTCTCGATAATGGTTTATAAGATATATATGCTACGAGTAAACACAAACTAAAGACGGTGTCTACAACGAGTTGATCAATGGAGACTTGTTTTTTATTAAATTCAGTGGTAGTGTAGCTGCCTTTGAAATGAGTTTACATGGGGTTTAGGGGAATCGACTCTGACAAATGAAATTTATCTGAATAAAACTGAGTTTTTAAAGGCAATAGCCGCCTGCTGACAGGCTGTGGCCCAGTGATTTATAAGGCTCTGCCAAAGGCCCAAGCTAAGGCAGAGTGAAACTTATGTTCATTAAACATAACACACGCCACTTTGGATTGACTAATAAACCAAAGGATTGACAGGCAGGAAAAAATAAAACAATCGTAGAAGGCGGGGATCAGTCAAAAGCTGTCCACACAGAGAGTAATGTTCAGAGCGGCCAAAGGGACAGGGGTAAGAATACAACATTCTTTTTTCTTCTTATCTCTGGTATCTAGCATTCAGAGTTTTTTCGCTGTCTTTGGAGAAGTTTTGAGATGTTGCCCTCACCTGAGTTCACTGTGGGTCATTTGAATTTCAGAGGCGGTACTGTGTCAAAAATAGCTTAGTGAAAATGATTTCTTACCTTAAATCACTTTTACTTAAGAATAATCCAACAATCACCAGTATCATAATGACTTTTTATTCAGTATAAAGCATTCATTAATAAAGCAATTTCATGGAGGTATGTGCATCGCAAAACTGTCCATGTTGTCATGCCAGTTCTGTCTGTATTTGATTGTCATATATAATATAATACAATAATAATTCCCATTGTTATCAAGATTTCATTTCATTAAGTTAAGTCTTATTTCCTTTAAACAAAAATAATAAGCAGCTACGGCCGTAAGAATATTTGAACCTATTTCCAATAAAATGTTTAAAGAATATTCTGGAAATGACAGCCACGATCGTTTTAGGCACCAACAAAAATGTAACCTGATTTGAAACGTTGTCTGATCACATTATATATATTTTAGAATTGGTCAAAAAACACCAAAACCATCAATAAATTGACCCTACAGAAGTATTGCAAATGAAGCTATTTCCCAGCTGTTTTAGAACATTATTTTTTTTCCTGTGGCTGCTTGGCTGAACATTTCTAGAGAGAATATGATTCATTGTAATTTGGGTGACCCAACCCTTTAACGTGTATGCACTGTCATATAATACAACACAGGAGACAGTGAGAACAGAGAAGGGCTCTTTGCTCCATGTATTTGAAGGCATGTTGTGTTTAGCTGTGTCGGACACTTACTGCTGACCAGCTGCCCCACGCTGAGAGCCGAGGAAGAGGAGGAGGTGGAGGAGGAGGAAGAGGCCTGGTGGAGAGGACTCTGTCTGTGGGGCATGTGGAGCAGGCTGGGCTGAGACGATACAGGGCCTGTCTGACCCTGCTGAGCCTGAGGCATCTGGACACACACACACACACACACACACACACACACACACACACACACACACACACACACACACACACACACACACACACACACACACACACACACACACACACACACACACACACACACACACACACACACACACACACACACACACACACACACACACACACACACACACACAATTAATATATTGACAGCATGCAGTACAGAGAATGATCCATTGTCCCTTGACCCACATCATCACAATAATCATCATTTACAGTAATCATGTCATTATGGTGATTAGGCTATAATACTACATCTAATCAACAGCTATTAAATTAGCCACTTAGGAGCTGACTATAATGAGATTCACCTTGTTACTGATGATGAATTCATGTTAATTACTGCCTGCGGTATTAAAACACAGCGTCAATAGTGTGCTCAATAGACTACAGCAGTAGTTTACTATTGCAGGAGACTGAGTTAACTCGGGTACAAACGCTTCTCTGCAGAAATCAACTTTGTTATATAAAAAAAAGAAAACTGCTCATGACAATTAGAGTATCTCTCTCGTCATCAGACCTGCGAGGATGCTAATAATGGCAGCCTGAATGTGAAATATAAACATGTGGACACAGCAGTTCCCATATCAAACATAATTCATGATCCACAAGCTACGTGCTCAGATGGCGAGAAAACGATGTATTTTCATGTTTTATGCACATTTGAATAGCTTTTACAAGATCAAGATGGTACGTCTTCACTTTTAAAGCGAAAAGCTGTCTCCGCCGTAAGCTAGGCCGGCTCCCCTTCTCCTTCTTTGCTATTAATTATTTTCTCCCTGGCATGTGTTTGTTTGGATGGTGGGGGGTGTCAACAGCGATGCACACACTGTCAGGGCTGTTGACAGGCTCGGAGAATTATCTAGCTTCACTGGAAATATTCTAGACTGCCGGCTCTGACAACCGTAAATTATGCCCGAGGAACAATGTGTACATGCGGGCTTTGAAGTGGAGACAAAAGCATAAACATTATTACGAATGCAATAATTCATTCAAGAGTATGATCTGGTGTTTGGCGAGCCACAATTAGGCGTCCATCTGCGGAGAGTTCATCCATTCTGCATTACACGGGCATTCAATGTGAACTTTTACCCTGTAATTCTGCGCTGACATCGTCATTATCAAGTCAATAACATCTTCATTGTCGTGTGAATGCATCTGACTCCGCAATTGAACACTGTATAGATCTTTAAGTTCTCAGAAGAAGTCGTTTCAGAGTTTCTACATTTAACTTCTACAAAATAAACAAAAGAACTTTTTTGTCGCATCTTCCTTTAAATCAAAACAAAATACTTCTTGTTCAGGTCAGAGAGGACAAATCACAAGGTTGGAGAGTGATTGAGACGGAGAGGTGGAGGGAGAGGTGGAGAACACTAGTGTTTGAGTTTTAAGTGGGGTGCTGAGCAGGCTCCCTGAGACTGAGTCTGAAAGGTTGTCTGACAAGTGCCTTCCAAATGTGCACACAGACACACACATTGTACACCAAAAGCTTCCATTTTCCGAGTGGAATGATGCAAATAAGTGTTATGGGAGTTGAAGCAGTAAAGAACCGAGGTGTTTAGCATAAAGCAGACCTGACTAGCAGTGCTGGGAAATGTACTTTGATGAATAAACAGAGCTCTGGTGTGACTCCACTAGGTGTTGCTCATTCAACAGTTTTAAAGCCAGCTCTAGATCAATGTTGAAACATCAGTTTAAGTGTATAATAAGCTCCTCTGTGTGTGTGTGTGTGTGTGTGTGTGTGTGGGTGTGTGTGTGTGTGTGTGTGTGTGTGTGTGTGTGTGTGTGTGTGTGTGTGTGTGTGTGTGTTACCTGCTGTCCAGGCTTGATTGGCGACAGCGTGATTCCCTGGGTGTTGATGACAGGCAGGATCTGATTGCCGATCACCGTGGCGATGATCTGGCCTTGAGCGTTGGTCAGAAGCTGAGGTGTAATTGGCTGTACCTGCAGTGCTGGGTTGCCACCCCCTGATTGGCTGGAGGGCCCTGCAGAGTTGGGCATCAGTGGGATTGTTCCAATTATCTACAAAGGGGGTAGAGAGGACACAAAATCAGCCGGGCAGTTTTAAAAAGAAAATGGAGCAGAGAGGGTAAACGCTACTGGAGATATCAGTCTTAATGATCTCTCTCGCTGTGAGTCTTTCTGGCCTCTTCGCGAGTGATCAGAGACAAAGCATGAGACGGTCATCTCACTGTGTTATGAGGTTAATCAGAATATTCTTTTACATTTTGAGAGAGAAACATGCCCAAGTGTGTGCTGAGGATCTGTCACTGAGGTGCTTTTACACCAAGTGAAGCCGGCACAGACTGCTGGGAGCACACTGGAAAGGTCAGCGCTGAATACCTTTGTGTGTGATGGTGCACACCACTGACTGTATTATCCATCACATGGCCAAGACTGTGCGAATGTGTGACTGTGTGTGTCTAAGTGTGTTTTTGCTTAAGTGTCTTTGTCTGTCTCTGGTGAGAAGGAGTGAGGCTGCAGAGAGACAGAAACCACCCTCTCTCTCACACACACACAGAAGTGGGAAGAAAGCAACAATAAGGGGGAGAGAAGAGGAGCATCAGAGAGTGAGACAGGACCCTGTGTTTCTAATTCAACTCTCAGGGTCCCAGGGGTACTTCACCCCCTCCAGTCCATGCTTTCCTCTCCTCTGTGGCTGTAATCAGGAAGGGCAGATCAAAGGGGGCGGCAGAGTGTCACTGCAGCGTTTTAGCTCTCAGAGCAGCCAGAGTGTGGCCGAGAGTGGCGCTTTAGGGGGGACTTAGCGCCTCTTCACCATGATGAAGGTTAATGTCATCTGGGGACTGGTTCTGAGCAGCCGTCGCCCTGTCCCCCCCCGCTGACACCGCTCCTCCACCAAGTCTCATTACACCAGAGAGCAGCTCAGCATGGATGAGACGTCCATCATTCCAAATTCTGTTATTTGGCAACTGGGCTACTTTTGCAAAAAATGTGACTGTCTTTGACTCTTTAAGTGCAAGCTACTACACCTCAGCACAGAACTATCTCAACAAACAGCTTCCCTGTAGCATTAGCCGGGCCTAGTGTGGCTCCCTAGTGTCACTGATGTGTTTCAGCGCCTGGTCCTCCTCTGCCTCCCCCCCCTCTCTCCTTGACATAATAGGGAGGGATCAGTGAGGGAAAGGTGGGTCGACAATCTGTAATTCATCCTTGCCACGGCTCATTTGCTTACGTTGCTTCACATTAAGGGAGAGATAATTTATCTCTCTCTCCGCGCCGGCTTTACAAATTCGCTGTAATGCTCTCCTATCACTTAGCATATTTTATTGCCCTGCCTGACGCTCTTGTCTCCGGAGTCCCACTGATCCCGCTTTGCATGCCACTGTGGCAGGGAACTTGTTCCGCTCAATTATTCATCGTCATTGGACTAAGTGGTTGTTCTATAAGCATAATAAAAGAGCAGGCAACTGACAGCTTAGCTCTCGTCCCTATCCCACCATGCAATGCTTCTCCATCTGAGTAGATCAGATGTTGCATGGCAGTGCCGCACAGATAGCTCAAGCTGGAAGAGTAAAGTTCTTGAAGTAGTGCTAATTTATAGACAGACTATATACAATATAGAATACTTTATTATTTTACTTTTCTTATGGTAAGTATTACATTCAATGTTGAGGTGTACAGAGCATTTAGAAAAGTATAGTTTGTACAGTTTATAATACAAGATAATCTATGTTTGGTCAAATTGATTGGTCAGATCCTCAGGTTATTCATTCTTCAACAGAAATGTCAAAGATGTTTTTTTACTTAAGTTTATTTTTAGACAAAGTTCATCATTGAACACTGGTGCAGAAGGCAGTTTGGCAACATGTTCATATTCTGCAAACTAAGGCATCTAAATAAGTATTGCCAAAAAATATAAAATATCACCTCACCACTATGTAAAGATAATTTATGCCTCTATGCTTATGTTTTGAAACCTTATGTTACAATCCTATTCTGTTTACACCTTCATTTTAATGTTGAAAGGTCTTGCTATCAATTCCTCATGTTTTGTTCCTCTTAAGAAGGTTGCACAGTACTCCAAATCAACCAGCAGGTACTTCACTCTCTGTTCAAAAAGCCCATATTTGATGGAGCCATACAATCATTTCCATTTCACCACTATTTCATAAATAAGCAGCTTTCAGGACCTTCTCTCAGTCCCTGCCAGGCCTCTCTCCTCAGTTATCTTTCAGTTTGTTCTCCTTTATTTGGCTTCCTGTGTTTGCTTCCCCGCTCCACTTCGTATGGCTTGTGAGTATTGTGCCTCTCTCCACCCAGCAGAACTCATTAAGATTATGCTGCTCTTTGTTTCCACAGAAATGTCATCTCATCTCTCCAGCCAGGGCAATCTGTGTCTTTAGCCATGGTCGCCAGGCAATATCTCTGCCTCTCCTCCACTGTTCAAGCGGCGAATTGAGACCCGAGAGAGAAAAATGTTTGGAAAGTTTGGACTTGTGTCAACACACATGTTCAAAAAACCAACATTCAGAGCAAATCAGAGGCTAAAAAGCAGACTTATAATGGTACGCTAGACAGAAGACATTTCCTGGGAAGGGTATTTTCTCTTAGTGTACAAGTCTGCATTTTATTTTCTCAAATACCTGACAAGATGCAGATTCAGTAGATTACTGCAGCAATGATGAGTTGTTTATTTATCCGACAACAATGTCTAGCAGCTTGTAGCAGCTCAAAGAAAATAATCTGCTGCTGTTCTGTGTTTTATTTGATATTTATGTAATATATATTTGTTTTTCAGAGTTTCGTTCAAACTAAATATGCACTTTAGAACCTTTTAGAGAGTCAACGGAATAATTTTTCCTCGTAATAATCAATAGTTGTAACCTAACAATAGCAGTTTCACTTGATCTAAAGATGGGAGGCTTCCATGAATACAAAGGGCACACTAGCTTGGCAGGTTAACTGTGCATGTGTTCCTTACCTGATGTTCTCTTAGTATTAGGGGCCAAAGACCTCACCCCAAAGGCTAGGAATGCTGGGAGTTAAAGGGATGGATAGCCCAAATTCAGGAGGGAGAGGGTTTCCGTACACAGAGCTATGGAGCCAGGGTTTAGCAAACTGGGATGAGACACACACAAATCTCTTCAGTGGTTTTTACACCTTTTTGGACGTAAGCTCCGCTAAATAAAACAGCCCTTAATGTCCTCATTACCCAACAGTTTTACTGCCATTTTAAGGCGGCAGGCAAAGTGAGAATTTGCACTGAATAAAAGATGTCCACACAACTGCCATAGAATCACAAAGGGGAAGAAAAAATTCAGAAATGAGAGTGACTTAAAAATATTGTGGCTTTTATCCACAGCCTTAATCATTGTTGCAGAGGTGGCAAGGAGGAAAGAGCCTCATTGATTCTCCTTGGAGAATAAAGAGGCTCGGGCCAATATAATTAAGGTTTAAAAACATATTGAACTCCAAACGTCTATCAAATGCGGCACTTTTCAAGGTCCCTGAGCCCTCGCTTATGAAAAGGTTTTTTCTTTGACAGAATTGTAGAGGAAATGAGGAGGTCAAAGACGGTATACCGTGTTATAAATTCAAGAATGGCGAATAATGTATAAAAGCAGTTCTCTGGTTAGTAAAAACCTCAAATGAGATAAAAGCTGCTCCACTGCCTCCGGTTTTGTAGCTTTTCTTTGCTGACATAAGTTCTCAGAGTGTGTTTGCTGGACCTCCTGGCCTGTTTGAGGTACGTATTAGCCTGTATAATCTCCTCAGTGTTTGGGGGTGGGGTGTGTGGACCTTCTGATATGGGAGTGCATGTTTCAGAGCCCTCCGTCTGAATAATGCTGTGGAATAATGAGGAGGGGAGCAAAGGCTGTAGCCCACGGCTTTGACCGTCTCTGTGACCTGATTATGTCAGGGACTGTCAGCCGCCTAGACACTACAAAAGCACAGAGCATCCCATCAAGTCCGTATCCACAGTGATCTGTCCCCAGTGCTCCAGGCACCTTGTGAGCCAGGGAAGTCCATACTGTCTCATTAGCGACGTTTAGCATCAAGCGCTCGCACACTGAGAACACTTAACACGGGTGGTACTGAAACCTAATACAAGAAGGCTAAGTTACATTTAAAAAAAATGAACCGTTTTTTTGTACAGAAATCACGTTTGTGTTAAATTTACATCAAGGACAGTGCAAGCGTTAAAACATGAAACAGGGGTTAAGGTACATAACACAAGAGTGGCATGAAAGGGCACATTGTCCATACAATTTTCCTTTAATACGTGCCGTGTGCACCTGTGATAAGATGATTCATTAGATAGGGTCCCGCAATGACAAGCATCATCGTTCAAGCCTCTGGCTACTGATGGAACAATTCTGCAGCCACCCTGTAAATATGACAAGGTCAGCGTTTTACTGCGACAGGCGCATGCGGATAACAGAAAGAAGGGCTTTGTTTATTCCCAAAAAGCTTAATATATGGTGGGCTGGCTACTAGAGTGTAGACAAACAGATTCAAGACAACACACTGGAGATCAATGTGGAAAGATCAGAAATACTATACAAATGTTTTATTTGGAGCTGCACATTCGTACATGATAGATGGTCCAGTAATATCTCTTACAGATCTGTTACCAAGTGCAAACCACAAAACCCTAGTGTCTAATAAGGTGTGTGTATACAAGATATTTATTTTTGCATTTTAGCGTCCATTAATTAGCACTCACCTGTCCTTGTGCGTTGGTGACCAGCTGTCCGGTGGCTCCTTGCAGGTTTGACAGGGCGTTGCCGAACACTTGAGACCCGGCCATGGATCCCATGGCTGCTGCTGCCGCCGCCGCTACCGCCACCTGGCTGGCCAATGGGTTCAGCTGGTAAAGGGCAGAGAAACCATATTTCAGAACTGCATCTGTTTATGCAACTGTCCAGATGTTAAATGCAAATTCCTAAAAAGAAAAAGAGGTTCAGGAGGGCTCGATGTGGGGGGGTCTTTATTGTTGCCATGGCCAGAATAGGCTAACTGCAGTGAGGCCTGTATAGTCCAATAGAGTGGGCTATGCAGTCCATCATACCGTTTCCAGAGGCCTGTGCTCCTGAACCCAGTGGGAGGCTTGAGGGTAGGGAGGAGCAGTGAGAACGGGAGGGTGGTTGTGAATAAGTGGCCATTTTACCACTCTAAGTGCTTCCTCTGGCCCCCGGGGCTCCCACGGGCCGAGCCGAGCCTCTCCACCCGCAGCATCGGCCCAACTGCTCCCCGCTTTCACAATAGAGCCAGGCAGTGTGGCCATGCATCACTGTATCGCCAACCCCTTCAATACGCTTCGACTAATTCCTCGTGCTTCATAATGCAATGGCTCACTGTTCCTTCTGAAGAAGAGGAGGGTTAGAGAGACCGTCTTTACCCCAGATGTAATGGACTCATCTGGTCTGGCCTGTGGTTGTGAAAGGAGGCTCCCTGCATTGGGGACAGGTTGTAGAGCCAAGCCACATCGGCGAGATTACCCATATAAATCAAGCTAACCACTTATTAGGGGGCTGAAAATGCACTGCTGATTTGGTTGTAGTGCAGCAGAGCAAAGTCTTATTAGGTAGAGTAAGTAGATCAAAGACCAAGAAGAGATAGGATACCTCCCAATTACTCAACAGGATAGAGAAATAATAGAAACAGTGCTTGGAAGCAGGCTGTCTGTTCCCTGCTGCTAATACTGGTTAGAAACATAAGAAAGAAGAGCTTATGGAAATGTTTTTTTAAAATAACATTGCATGTGATTTATTTGTCATTACATAAAATGCTCTGAGAAAGGGATTGTTTGGATGAAAGCATCAATGTTTCCACACTGTCTGTACTCTGCAGGGAATTCAGCTTTGTTCATCTGAAATCATTCAGTTGCCATTCATCTTTTATCTTACCCCACCACCATATATTATTACACTTTCTGAAATCAAATGATGAAAAAATGCCACGGAGCGATCAATACTTTTTCATTGACAGTAAAGGTTAAGCACATTAAGAATGACACTGCATTTGTCTTATGAAATCATATTTCATGTAGGTGGCCTCAAATTGGCCGTGATTGATATTGCCTCCCATCGTCTGAAAGTCATCCAGTTTTTCCTCGATAATCGCAAGATTGTCTTTTATGTGTCCAGCGGATGTCCTTCGAAAACCTCAAATGTTAGAGAAGCACAAAACTGATTCTGACTCTACATGCAGGAGTAACAGGATCACAGAGCAAGCTGTAACCTTTAATCCTATGCTCTCAAACATATACCTATTGGATAATATATAAGCTAATGTTGGTGCCCAAACTAAAGAAATTATATTATATATGTTTTGTGTGTGAAAGATTCTTTTTTGACATGTTCAGTGTCCCCTAGCCTTAACTGCTAACTTAATTATATTGATAAATGTATAAATGTCTGTAACCATTATCATAATTACCAAAAATGTGTACATACATATATGTGCATATATATATATATATATATATACTGTATATGTGCATACACACATACATATGGTGATGAATAGACATTATCTTGAAAAAAGGCAACAGAATCATTTGTTGCAAGAGACAGAAAATAAACAATCCTCTCTAAGATTTTTTGAACACAACACATTTAATTTGATACTGTTTTTTAGAATCAGTTTAACATTTAAAAGAGCTGCAGCCAACACAATGAAGCTGAACTATCTACATTTTAATAGTGCAAAGAGGTATTTTATTAGATGTTAAAATATGGTTTGAATGGGAAAAGTTTTGCCTTACCTAAATAGTTTTACAAGTATATACAAGGATAGATCTGGCCAGCATGTGATAGGCAAGTACAAATTAGATTAAAATCACGATCTTCAACAAAAGGTGAAGGATGGAGGAGTTTAGCTAAACTGACACTTAGCAAACAATTTCCTCTTTACTCAACTAGGAGTAGTAGAAGTTGAAGAAAAAATCAATCCCAGACCAGCTACTCTCGTAGTTTTGTGAGTTTCAAATATTTTCTGAAGTGTTGATAGAGGGGGTCTGGTTAAACAAAGCATAAGAGGGCTTGTGATAGTGATTTGTGGCACAGAGGAAAGCCAACAGGGCGGGTTAGACAGAGTTAAAAAGAGGCCACAGATCAACACAAAGATAATGTGATCTGCTCGGGCGAGCACACCGAGAGTCTCCCTGAAAATCTGCTGTGCTTGGTGTCATTGTGTGAGTGATAGGTTGTTGGAGAAGCTTTCAGATTCATTTGAAATATTATCATTGTGTTTTCATTCGATGATAGCCCTTTCAGGTGCTATGTTATTCCGGTAAACGTAGGTGAAAGGAGAGCAGGCTTTATTGCTGCATCTTCCTGGCACTGGGTAATATGGATAGCAGTTGAAAGGAGAGCCAGGAATAAGGAGAGGCGAGGCTGTGTTCAACACCTAAACAGGTGATTTTCCGCCACGGTGACTCCTCTCAACACCTCGGCGGGAGGCACAAAATGACAGACCTGGCCTAGCATTTGTCCTGATTGCATGTGTTGGGGGAGATAAACAGTGATCTTCCAGTGTGCAGAGCCTGCATGTTAACCATTGTGTCTCATTCTTTTCATTCCCCATGAATAGGAGCATCAGCAGCTTAGACCACTGGGGTTAGTGTGGGGATAACAAAAATAAACTGAAGCCTTGCATTTGTTAAGGAAATGTTAAAACTCAATGTTACAGTTTCATATTATCCACACAATAACCTGCGCTCTGCTCAAGCCTCCATTATATCATGTGACATCATCTCGTCACCTTTAAGTCACCACAACTGCCATGAATTGCTGCACCATCACAGTTTCATATAGCCAAATAGAAAAGGGTTACACAGGGATCAGCAAACACAAAACAAGTGTCTCTGAAAGGACAGAAAGAAACCCAAATTGTTAAAAATGCATCTTTTCTCCCCAAGCGTTTTGAAGTGGAGAGAATCTAAACTCTGCCGGGCTCTCCGTCGCCTGTTTGACCATGAGGGTCACCTGGTGCAGCAACCCGTGTAATCTCAGGAATAGAAGGAAAAATAGTGTCCCCACTAACCGTGGAGAGACCCCTGGAAACCAAAATTGTCTGACACAAACTAACTGGAGTTTATTCTTGCTTGTGCTCTTTTCATGTGGCCGTTTTTAAACTTAATTGCTTTTTTTGTCTGGGCCAAGACAAAGAACAGCAAAGATAAATGGACAAAGTGGTGCGGACACCAGCAGGAAGGCAGATTTGTCTACACTAAGGCTTCAGCAGGGTTTAGAGAGTGATACTCTTCTAATGTATGATTCAACAACAAACCTTTATCTAAAACATTAGATCAAACTTAGAAGGGCACAGCAATTATTTAGCAAATTCACTTAATTAATTACCATCTCTTCTGAGGTATATTTGGGAACATTTAAGATAGATCAAAGTCTTCATGTTTTCTTGCAACCATAAGTGGGCCAAACAGTGTTCATTAAATTAATGAAACAGTACTATTGTCTCTGAGCCGATGCCCTGTATCTTCGGAACAACATGGAAGTTTTCCTTGTTCATCCCGGCCCCACAACTCTGTCTCCTCCCTGCTCTTTTCCCACTCCAGAGTGAATGTAATCAGCTGTGACATGAGAAAACACGTTCTCTGTCTGTCAGGGCTCTGCTAGTCTTCCGCTGACAGTCCTCCTATTCCCTAAAACGGCCTCTCCCCCACCTCCCTGTCTCCCCTCCCTCACATCCGCTGTGCTTATGAACATCAAAATGCCATTAGGCCCTCCAAAACACCTCTGGTCCCTCGGTTAGCGGGGCCTCGCACTGTGGCCGTGCACTCTGAGTCCTCGGAGCCCCGGCTATTGCTCACCAGTGGACCTCTGCTCCAGCCCTTGTGAAAAATAAAACCCAAAAAGGGAAAATATTGGGAAGTGAAAGACGGATAGAACAACTGGGGCAGATAACACCCGGCGAAAAACAATAACGCTGCATCCGGAGACAGTCGCACATTGTAATTGCTTAAGGCAGTGGAGGGATGGTGGTGGCAGCGGGTGTGGATGTGGAGGTGGCATGGCGGCTGCTAATGGAGTGATGTCATATGAAACGGCCGAATGTCAGCTAGTTAACTGGGAAGGTTTGGCTGATCAAATAAAATGCATTAACTCCAGGAAATGGATATCGTGAGCAGCCTCAGAAATGGCCATATCTAATGAGGCAAAATGCAAATGAAGGAGAGAAAGAGTCGTGAAAACGTTTAAACTAACTATAAAGGGATGATGGAGTGCCGGACAGTGGCCGTCAATCTCCCCACTCATTACCCTCATGTGGAATTAACAGCAGCTTTAATCATTACATAAAATCTGCTCCAGCCCATTTGTTGATAATTGTGAGGCACGGAGGTTCAGAGTGGGTTCTTTGTCATCCATCACGGCAGCGGCAGATTTCCTTTGGTTAGGGGACACTGCGAGTAAAAATATAAGTTATACTGCATTCCTCGTCCACTATTTCTCTTCCTGAGCAATGATCTATAATATTTAGCCGTTTCCAGATGTATTCAATTTGGAACTACTTGGTGATTAAGTATCTACGGGAAAGTGCTGACCATTTCAGCTCATGATGTGACATATTTGGTGCAGTTATTTCTGTACCATGCTAGTGTTGGGTTGGAAATCACAGCAGCGTTAAACCGGTGTTGCAGTAAATCTCCTGCTGCTCTGGCTATGACTTTAAATTGGATACATGGCTACGTTTTGTTGGTTGCTGTGAGAAAATGAAAAGTATAATCAGAAGGAAAGAGTATAAAAAAATAATAATAATAAAAGATGAGCGCCCTTATTTCTTTGTATTGTTGAAGAATCCCTACGTCAATTATTCAATATGTAATAAAACATATTTCTTGATTTT